TGCAGAAACACAAACTGCCAAGGCCAGGAGGCCGGCCTGTGGGGCCACGCCCTCCATCTGTCTGCAGGGAGCTCCTGGTCCAGCAGCCAGTCCCTCGACTGGGAGACGGAGAGCTGCTGCCCACGCCCTCCAATGGCCCGGGGCCCTGCACAGCCCCCCCCCCCCCCCGTTACATCTCTGACCTCCTCTCCCACTGCCACCCTCCCCCCTGTTCCAGCCACAGGTCTCCTTGCTGATCCTTGAACATTCGCAGCGCATGGGCCTTTGCACTCACAGTTCCCTCTGCCTGGCTGCTCCTCCCCGCTCATCACATGGCCACCCCGCACCTTCTTCAGGTCTTTACTCCAATGTCTTCATCTATCAGACCCTCTGTCCCCGGCCGGCTTCACTCTATTCTCCTCCGCACTTTGTTATCTGATATGTTGTAGGTTTTCCTCGCTTGTTTTACCCTCCGTCTCCCTGACCAGACAAAAACTCCGTGGGCAGAGGCTGTCTGTCATGTCCCTCAGAACCTGGGACTGCCCTGCACATAGTGCGTCCTAACTAGCTGTTGGGTGAAGGGATGAAGGGCCTGGGGCAGAGCTTCAGGGGGGACAGGACACTATGGCCCCACGTGGAAGTCCGACCTTCTCCCTCGGCAGGAGGGGCCTGGTGCCTCGGGGGCACCTGGGGCACCAGCCAAGGCAGCGCCGGGAGAGCAGCTGGTGTCCGACAGCCCAGATGTGAGTTACCGCGGTCGGTGGTTTAGAAGCTGAAGGACGAGACCGGGGGGCAGGGTCTCAGGCCAAAGGCTCAGCCACAAGGAGACCAGGAAGTGACCATCAGCTACCAGACCTGGTGTCAGGGCAGCAGATCCTCTGCCCGGGAGCCAGGTCAGATTCAGAGACAGGAACAGCCATGATGGGTAAAGCACCGGGCACCTCGCCGGGTTTTCTAAGGCAAGAGTTCTGAACCCCCCTTCTCGGGGAGGTTAGAAACCTCCCAAGGCCGCTCAGCTGCCCACGGAGACGAGAGTGGACACCACCTCCGGCCCAGCCTCCCCAGCAGCGAGGCCTGGGGTTTGCCCTGCACTTTCCTGCTCCACAGCGCTTTCCACTTATCGCCTCGTGTTACACACCAGCCGGGAGGTGCAATAGATGTGGCCAGTCCCATTGCACAGGCAGAGAAACTAAGGCCGGGCTAGCCAAGGCATTTCCTCAGATTTGCACTGGAACCACAGGGCTTTGCACCCACCCCTTCTGGCTCCTGTCCCCGTGCTCCCGCTGCCCTACCTGGCTCACCTCAGAAAGGGCCACCACGCCTTTCCCAGGGGCCACCCTCATGGATCCTCAGGCGGGGGGCCAGCGTCTGAGTCCTCAGGGACCGGGCTCCGGGCCGCCGCACTCACCTCCCTCTGGCCCTCGGCCAGCTGCTGCGCCTCGCGCTCCTTGGCCTCCAGGACCTCCTGCATCTGCGAGCTGAGGGCCAGGTCCCGGGAGTCACTCTGAGGAGAGAGAGGCCTCAGGCCCTGGGCGGCAGCGTCTAAAACCCAGCCAGGCTCCACCTCCCCCTGGGCCTGGGGCACAGGGTCCCAGCGGAAGGGGTCTCAGGACAACTTCCCTGGCTCGGGCCTGGATTGTGGCAACAAGGACACCGAGGCCCAGAGGGGGGGACCGGCCCCAGGGGACAGAGCGAGACCCGCAGAGAGGGGACGGGGCTCGGCACTCCTCACCCCATCTCCTGGTCAGGGGTGTGAGAGGACCCAGCCACCTCCTGCCACCCCACACTGGCCGGGCACCGGCCCCACGGCTGGGCCAGCAGAGGGGTCCAGGGCAGGGGAGGGCAGGCTGCCGGGAGCCCACCTTGGCCTGCAGCTGCTGCTTCTGCCGGCCGATCTGCTGCTCCATCTCCTCGTACAGCTGCTGGACCTCGCGTTGGTGGTCAGAGTCCCGCCTGGAAGGGGTGGGAGGTGGGCCGGGCAGCGCTTCAGCGACCCCGGGCCCTGCTGCTGCCAGAGGCAGCCTGGACCTGGTTTGGAGTCCATCTACTGCTCAGCTAGCTTGGTCAGGGATCCCCAACCCTCGTTACCCTGGAAACAGTTGTCCCAATGGCAGCCCCTGACCCACACACCCCTGACATTGGTCACGCGGATCCCATCACCTGACTCCTATAGCCATCGCCAAGATATTGGTCCCCTGGCCCTGTCACATGGTCCCCACCACTTCACACCCTGTCCCCACATCCCTCTGTCACCATCCCCCTGCCTCCATAGCTCAGCCCCCCTGCAGAGCTGTGCCCATGCCAACCCCAGGGCTGCTGCATGCATTGCCATCTACGTGAGTGGCGCTCCTGGAGTTGGCTGCCACAGTGGCCCTGCACCAACACACACTTGGCATCCCACTCTGGACAAAGGCCAAACTCTGTCCTCCCCACACCCCCGAAGCCAGCCCTTCCTCCAGCTTCGCTCCGCCCATCCCAGCCTCCAGGCCCTGCGTGGCCTTGGCCTCCATCCTTCTGCAGCCGAGGGACTCCCATTAAGATTCAGCCGCTACATGCAGAGCTCCCACTACATGCAGACACCCAGTGGGCGCGAACCCCCACCCACTCACTTCCTCAGGGTCAGCTCCAGAGCCTCCTTGTCGGCCCGGGCCTCCTGCAGGCGGCTGGTCATCTGCGCCAGGAAGCCCTCCAGGTTGCCCGCCAGCTGGGGCTCCTCCTGCCTCAGCTTCCCCCACAGCTGCCAGATCTCCTGCCTGGGGAGGGGGGAGCCAGAGATTAGACCTGAGGGGGCCCAGGAAGCAGAGGGGGGCCCGTTCTCCATGTGAATGGCAACACTCCGAGAGACTGGGGCAGCTGGGCTACAAAACCTATTGACCTCTGTAGGTGCAGCCAAATGCCTCGCCCCCCAGGAATCTGTCCCAGGTGTGCCCAGGGAGAGGCCCTTCTTTTTTTGAATCCTCCCCCAGGGATATTTTTCCATTGGTTTTTAGACAGAGTGGAAGGGAGGGAAAAGGAGAGGGAGAGACAGCGAGAGAAACATCAGTGTGAGAGACACATTGATGGGTTGCCTCCCACACACACCCCAACCTGGGGCTAGGATCAAGCCTGCCACTGAGGTACGTGCCCTTGACCGGAATCGAACCCGGGACCCTTCCGTCTGCGGGTTGACGCTGTAGCCACTGAGCCAAACTGGTTAGGGCTGCCCTCTCCCTTCTTGAACCCCCACAGGACCTTGGTTCTCTGTGGTTTGGTGATTAAGTGTGGGGAGGGGGACTTGGGAGCCTGCCGGCCCAGGGCCTCGGCTGCCTTCTCTCTTCCCCCACTCCCTAGCTGTGTGATCTTTGGCAAGTACCATGCCCTCTCTGGGCTTGTTTGTAAAGCAGGGCGGCTGGTACCTGCCCAGCAAGTTCTCCAGAGAGTGAGACGCGCCCAGTGAAAGCACCCGCTGGGGCCTGGCACATGGTTGGCACTTGCTGTGTGTGAAGACAGATGCCAGAGAGCTGAGAGCAGGCCAAGCTGCCAAGGAGGCGGATGGCTCCCACCACGCCTGGCCCTGCAGCCTGTACCTGCGTCCCACCCTGCCTGCCCCACAACCTGGGCCTGCCCTCTGAGAGCCGTTCCCACAGCCCTTGGGGCAGCGACCCCCTTGCTGGCTCTGACCCCAGTGGCAGATGGGGGTGTGGGAGGGGCATTTTTAGGCAGGGCCCCCCTTCTTTGAGCGAGTAAACCCCAGGAGCCCCGAACCAGAGCCAGTTAGGAGGGAACGCCCTGTCTCCAAATCTCCCAACCCAGGGCATCACCGTCCTCACACCGCTCAAGTGGGGACCCTCTTTTTGGGTTAAGAAAGGCACCCTCAGAATGTGAGGACCCTTGGGAGGCTGCCCCAGCTCGTAACCCTCCAGAGGAGAGATTCTAGGGCGGGACAGGGCAGGGGGCGGGGCCTGGGCTTATCTTCTCCCCAAAGCTCTACCTCACTCCGCAGCCAGGGAAAGCAGGTCAGAGGTTAGGCCACTTGCCCCGAGTCACACAGCTAACAAGTGGCCAAGCCAGAATTTGCACCCAGCTCTCTCCCACTTTCACACTGTGCCCAGGCGAGGCCTCGCCTACACGGACTGGCAGTGCCCGACCTGCCCCCTCCCATCCCCCACACACACACACTGTGCTGGCCTTACTCAGGAAGTGAGTGGTCACCCCCCAGCTGCTCCATGAAGGCGAGAAACGCCTCCCTCTCCTCCGCGTCCGCCTCCTCCAGCACCGGGAAGCTGGTGGCCGCGGACCCGCGCTTGGACGACAGTGGCCTCCTTCCGCGGACCCTCTGGGTGCTCGGGCTGGAGCCAAAGATACTCTCTGTGGACAGAGGGGGACAGAAAGGAGGGGAGTGGGGCTGGGCTCAGCCCCTGACCCCTCACCTTGCCCTGCTCCAGCTCTTGGGGAATAATTATATCCATTCACGTTTCTACAGGGCCGTGTTCATCATTCCTCATGTCAGCCCAGGGAGGCTACTGGCGGCAGCCCTGTGCCCATTTTACAGATGAACATGCGAGGCCCAGAGAGGCCTAAAGAGCTGCTGGAAGCCACACAGCGGCTCCATGGAGGCCAACACATTCTTCGTTCACCCAGAATATTTGTTGAGCACAGAATAGTTATGTGCTGGGGACAAAAATGGCCCAAATCCTTGTCCTAGTAGAACTGACATTGTAGTGAGTGCTGAAAAGGACACATTTTTTAAAAAGTAAATTTGCTAAGTGAGCTAAAGGAATAAACAGGACCATTTCCATTGTTACTGGGGGCTACTTTAGAGCGAGTGGTTAGGTGTGCCCTGAAGACATTGAACCGAGATGAGAGTAGCAAGAAGAAGCAAGTCATGTGCCTTCCTGGGGAAGCGTACTCCAGGCAGCGAGAACAGCACGTGCAAAGGCCCTGCAGTAGGAAACAGACTGGCACACCAGAGGAGGCGAGTGGCACTGAGTGAGCCAAGAGGCTGGCAGAGTCTGGCTGGTGCTGCCCTGTGGGCCCAGGAAGGGGTGCAGATTGTGTTGCACAGGCAGGGGCAGCCCTGGGGTGCTGGGCAGGACTGGATACTGATAGGAAGATGGACCTTGGGGGTGCATGGACAACAGTGTTCCCTCTGCCCCCACCCCCGATTCCAAATACCAATCCCCCCTCCCTACTCCCGGCTTCCCAATCACCAGAACCAGAGCACCCACCTCCTGGGCAGCCCCAACCTATATATGCAGATTCCTGGCTTCCCTCTCTGTTGCCCGTCAAACTTTTGGAGACTAGCAAACTGAGAACCCTAGATGGCTCTGCATTAATGTAAGGCCAGCTGGGCTCTGCAGGTCTCGAAGGACACCACACCTCCCACTCCCTGGGCCAGCCTCCCCCCCATCTCCCCACCCCCCCACCCCGGAGAAGAGGGAGTATCATTCCCTCTGGTCTTGGTCTCTCTAGGTCCTTTGGGGCCTGTCTGGAGAAGCGGGGTGGAAGTAGCCCTGCTCAGTGAGGACTAAAGGCCTGGGAAGCCCCACCCCCTAACTATCACCCTTTGCTGCCCCCGGGACCTAAATTCCCTCCAAAGCCGGGCTGTGAACTTCCTCAGAGGGAAACAAGGCCTGGGGGTCTCAAGAATGGGGAGGGGGTTGCTTAACTTCTTGCTCCAAGGAAGCCTTTTGTTGGGGAGAAGACAGGGAGGCATCAGAAAGCAAGCCTGGCAGCCTCTCTAGAGAAGGGGGTGCTGAGGGGACCCCCAGGCCAAGAACGGCTCTGGCCGGTGGGAGAGGAAGCGATCCCATCTCCTGGGCTAGAGTCTTAAGGCTCAAACCACCTGCCTTCCCACCAGGCTGAGTGCCCTCGTCTCCACAGTCACCAGGATTGTCTTCCACACCCTGAGCTCCCTCGGGGGTGCTGTGAGGGTCCCCTGGTTGCTAAGGTGTCACTGTTGCCTGTCCGGCAGCCCAGCCTGGCCCCGTGCTGGGCTCACTGCAGCGATGCCTGCCCGTGCGGCCAGCCCCCTCAGCGCCTCCTCCCGGGACGGACTTACTCAGCCCAGAGCTGAACTCTTCCAGGGAGAGGTGTCCCTTCCGCTCCACATCCACCCAGTCAAAGATCATCTCCGGCTCCTCCTCGCTGCCCAGGAAGCTGAACTTGGCCACCTGCAAGGAGGGGGTAGATTGGGTGCTGTTCCCACTGGGCCATCCTCAAAACATAGAGGCGTCTGTCATCAGCCACCCCCACCTTCCCTCTCCCCGGTTTTGGAGTCCCACGGCCTGCTGAGCCTGAGCCAGAGCCTGCCCTGAGGCTCCCGGACCCGGACCCTGTCCGAGGCAGCCTCAGCAGAGCCTTGAACTTCTCCACACCTTCCCCATCCTCCCTCCTACAGCAACATTTGCCTGTCCTGAGCCTCCTCCCTTAAGGACCCTGATAAAGGACAGTGGGGAATCCGCCCCAGGTTGTGTTTATCGGAGTCCAAAAATTAACCTGGAACTTGAAAATAAGTCCCCGGGGTGGACAGCATGTTCCTCAGGGGCAAAAGCCCCCAAGCATCTTCTAGAGGAAGGCACAGAATTCATCTCGTGGAGCTGCTGAAAGGGCCCAGACTAGAGAAAGTCACGGGTTAACTTGTAGGTTTCATCTGATAGAGATGTAAGTCATTTCTGTCCAATGGAACAGATGACCCCAAAGATTTACGGCCTATTGGACATTAAGCAGCTTTTAAGACTCCAACTCAGCATTTCTAACATTTCTTTGTTAAATTACCTAGCTTTTTAAATGCTCTTTCAACCATTCATAACCTCTCTCAATTATTGAGTTAAATAAATCTTCGATGATTCATCTTAGTTTTTGCCTAAGGGGCATGAGTGTACCTTCCTGGAAGTTACGTTTGGACAGTTTTGGAGGTTCCTGGAGATGCCCAATGGACTCGGCTGTCGGAACCAAGGAAGCTGCTTTGCTGGGGAAGTGAGCAGGCACTTCGGGCGCGGAGGGAGTCCTGAGTGTGATCGAGCTTTAAGTTCGCTGACTCTGTGTCTCTAGTTTTCTTTTTGCGGAATTTGTGTTTTTTATTTGGTGGCAGCGATGGTGGGGAAGACAACAGAAAGTCGGATTTGCTCCTCTTCTGTGGGTGGCGGCAGTGTTTGCTTTTCTACGTGTGACCGCGCATTAGTTAGGGGTTGTGTTCCCACTGGGAGGGAGAGCCGCTTTTGAGACCTGGACTGGTGAGTTTTTCTGTCTCTGTGCTGACTTTTGACCTGTGGCTGGAGTCGTAAAAATAAAGTCAGAGTCACTCTATGTTTGTGTGTCTACATCATCCGTAATCAGAGAGGCCTTAACTCTTACTGTGGGTGTGAAATAACTTCCTACCTCTGGAGGTATTAATAGCTTAGAGTCCGGGGGTTCTGTATTGATTGGTTTGTAGAGACAGCTAAGTGTCTATATAAATCTAATGTTTCCAGAAGTCAGAGGAAATAAAGAAACCAAATTTCTATGCTTTAGATGTGCTCAGCTTTTTTTTTAAGTCCCCCATACAAGAAGTTGTTAGCTCAGAAAACTTTTAAGGAGCCAGGTTCAATAATTAAGGTGAATCTTTGGACAAATGAGATTAGTTTTTAAATCTGGGTTACAAGACACAGATAATAGTTATATCTGTGTTTTCTCTGCTTTATATTAAATACTAGAGGCCCAGTGCATGAAATTCATGCACGGAGGGGGGATTCCCTCAGCCCAGCCTACACTCATTCCAATCGGGACCCTTGGGGGGTGTCCGACCACTGGTGGGATCGGGCCTAAACTGGCGGTCAGACACCCCTCTCATAATCTGGGACCACTGACTCCTAACAATTCACCTGCCTGCCTGCCTGATCACCCCTAACTGCCTCTGCCTGCCTGCCTGATCACCCCTAACTGCCCTCCCCTGCCAGCCAATTTGGTTCTGATTGGTCAGTTTCTATGCCAGTCAGCATCAAAAGCTCCCCCTCTAGGCAGCCATTGGCTCCTTACATTCACCCAGATTTTGTTCTGATTGGTCAGTTTCTATGCCAGTCAGCATCTCTGAGCCTATCAATGGGGCCTGATCAGAAAGGCTGGGCTGATCAGCAGCCCTGGTGGAGGCCTGGAGAGAAATGGAGGCAGGGCTGCTGGCCAGGCCGGGAGAGAAAGAGAGGCAAGTTCTGATCAACAGCTGCCACAGAGGCTACAGATCAGACCCTGCCTCTCTCTCTGCAGGCCTCTCTCCGGGCCTGGTCCGCAGCCCCCTAGGCAGTCAGTGCTGGGTCGGGGTGCCTGCAGCGGCCACAGTCAGTGCTGGTCGAAGTCCCAATGGTTGTTACAACCCTGGCTCTTTATTATATAGATAATACAAGTATACATTTTATTTTTTTAAGGCCTGGATTTATTTTTTTGTGAAGAAACTAGTTCATCTGAATGTCCTGCACTTCTTATTTTGTCTTACTGATTTTGTCTTAAGCTAACATTATCTGTACATAATGTTTAGGGTTATAAAAATGTTAGAATTATACACCTGAAACCTATATAATTTTATTAACCAATGTCACCCAATAAATTCAATAAAAATAAACAAGTGTATGCCCTGGCCAGTGTGGCTTGGTTGGTTGACCATCGTCACGTGCACCAAAAGGTCACTGGTTTGATTCCCGGTCAGGGCACATGCCCAGGTTATACATTTGGTCCCTGATGGGGGTGCATGCAGAAGGCAACTGATCAATGTTTCTCTCTCCCTCTCCTTGCCTCGCTCTTTAAAATAAAATAAAAAATACATTTAAAAATTAAACAAATAAACAAGTACATAAAAAAGAAAATCTGTTAAAGAGAGAAAAGTTAAACCCAGTTGTGCACATCTGAAGAAAAAGATTATAACAATTTAAATTTGTGTTCAACTAAATTGATTAATTATTCTAACAAATTTTATATCAACAGTACTTATATTTTGTAGTATGTCATTTTAAACATACTTTCCAAGATTTTTAGTAACATGAAAAACTTGAATGAATATTAAATTAATTAAGAAAATGTAATACTAAAAGTTTAATTGCTAAGCATAATTGTAAGCTTGTGTCTTTTTACTTCTTACTTTTATGTGCTGGAGAGCAGCTATATCTTTGGGTCATGTTAATGAGTGAATTCATTTTTGACACTTTAGGTAGTTGTGCAAGAGAAAGCAGGGACTCAAGTAGACATTTGTAAACCTATATTCAGAGCAACAGTGTTCACAATAGCTTAAAGACGGAAGCAACTCAAATGTCTACCAAGGGGCAAGCGGATACATGAAAGGTGGTAGATACATACAATGGAATATTATTCAGCCTTAAAAAGGAAGAAAATTCTGCAATATGCTACAACGTGAATGAACCTTGAGGACAAACACTGTATGAGTCCACCTATATGAGGGACCTGTAGTAGTCAAATCACAGAGATAGGAAGTAGAACTGGGGAGATGGGAGAATGGGAGTTAGTGTTTAATGGGCCCAGAGTTCCAACTGGGGGGAAGAAGAGCTTCTGGAGATGGGTGGTCATGATTGCACAACAATGTGAATTACTTAATATCACTGAAATGGTAAGTTTTACGTTAGGTGAATTTTATCACAATTTTTTTTAAAGTTGTGCAAGGGACATGTGTGACTGCAGAAAGTCGTGTTAGGTGTCCTTGTGAGCTCTGCTAGTCTGCTGAAATGCTTGTATAATCTCAATTACTTACCCCCAGTTCATTCCGAGGTTAATTACTTTGGTTAAAAGTTGTAGTCACTACGGGTGTTTGAGACTATACTAGGAACGTTAGGGACAGAGAAACCCATTGTGTCTGCAAGGAAAATGGGGTGTGTTTTTGTCTTGAAGGGATAAAGGAAGTGGTTTTTGTCTTAACGTGTCCGGTTGTTCCAGAACATGAAAAAATATAAAGGCCACAACCTGAATGGATAGAGAATCATAGAAGGTTACTGAACGGGAGTCTTTCTGCCTTGATTTATAATACCCGAGTCTGAAAATTAGCTATGAAATATGTTAACATTTTACCAAATTTGCCTCAGTTTTGATGGGTTTAAAAATAAATTAAGTCCTAGCTGGTTTGGCTCAGTGGATAGAGCATCGGCCTGCAGACTGAAGGGTCCCGGGTACGATTCGGTCAAGGGCACATGCTCTTGTGGGCTCCATCCCCAGTAGGGGGCACGCAGGAAGCAACCGATCAATGATTCTCTCTCATCATTGATTTTTCTATCTCTCTCCCTCTTCTTTCCTCTCAGAAATCAATAAAAATATATTATAAATAAATAAATAACAAAACTTGTGAAACTCCCTTGTGTTACATCAATGCAAAACTAGAATTGGGCTCCATCTCTATTAAAATTATAAATTGAGCCCCTAGCAAGGGTTAGAAAGAGGTTACTATTTATCTTCTGTGTAAGTTGCCCAGATAACTGATTCCACTTCTCATCAGAAAAATCCCCTCTGCTATGTTTGGCTTTATCATATTCTATTTTTTAAAAAAACAAGAACCTAAGGTACCTCTCTTACGAAAGAGCTCAACACCCTTGCAATTGTGTCACCTTCTTCTATGTTTATTCCGAAAGATGGTATTTTCTCGTCACTTTGATTAAATAGATAACCAAGCAGTACTATTTCTCAGGCTCCCATGAGCCTGCCTTAAACTTGTGGCCACATTTCTCTGATAGCTCTTTTGATTTTGCCTTCCAATATCAGATCCTAAATTTAGAAAAAAAGAAACTTCAGGATATCTTTCCATATATTTATTAAATACTTCACCACTATTCTAAGAGCATGATGGGCAGGAAATAACAAGTGTTGGTGAGGCCGTGGGGAAAAGGAAACCCTTGTGCAGTCATGGTGGGAACATAAATTGGTGCAGCCACTATGGAAAACAATATAGAGGTCCCTCAAAAAACTGAAAATAGAGCTCGGCCAGGTGGCTCAGTTGGTTGGAGCGTCGTCCCATATATCAAAAGAGTGCAGGTTCGATTCTGGGTCAGGGCACATACCTAGGTTTTTGTTCGATGCCCAGTCAGGGTGCATGTGGCAGGCGACCCATTGCTGTTTCTCTCTCACATCAATGTTTCTCGCTCTCTTCTCTCTCTCTCTCTCTCTCTCTCTCTCTCTCATCAATAAATATATCCTCAAGTGAGGATTAAAAACAAAAATCTATTCAAAATTTTTAAAAATAGAACTACCATATCATCCAGCAATTCCACTTCTGGGTATTTATCTGGAGAAAATGAAAACACGAATTCGAAAAGATAAATGCTCCCTGTGTTCACTGCAGCATTGTTTACAGCAGCCAAGACATGGTACAACCCGAGCGCCCCTCATGGGCGAATGGATGGAGAAGACGTGGTGTACTGTGTGTGTGTGTGTGTGTGTGTGTGAGTTTAAATTTTTAAGTTCATTAAGATTAATTAATACAATTGTGTTTAACACCTGCTTCTAAAAGATAAGCTGATCATGATCAATAAAAAGTATTGTAATCTTTGTTGCCTGTAGAAGAACATGAAAACTGAGGCTTTAACCTGTAATAAAATCTGGTATTAAACGTGGCTTGGGTGCAAAACAGAAGAGCATTGTAGGAAGAACATCAACTCAGAAGAGATGGTGGCCTTTCCTGGGCTGTTTATGGAGGTAAAATCCACTAACACAACTATTTCAGAAGTTGCATGCTGTACCGGAAGGCCATGGAGATTGTTCAACGCCGTCGCTACCTCAGGGGAAACGCTGGTCAGCCCTTATGCATAGCTCTGTCCCCAGTAGAGAGCTTGGCTCTCCTCCACTCTGATATTATTAGTTCCTGTGACAGATAACCACAGCTGCTCAGGCTCCCTCCTAAGTAAGCGTGTGCTTTGCCCGAGGCTCAGTGAACAGCTGCAGCCACAGTCTGTGCTCCCGCAGGACAGACCCGAAGCTGGGGGAGGGACTGCGCCCCGTTCTCCGCGCTGCAGGCGCTCCCCTGGGGCGGGACGCCGAGCCACCGCCCTTCAGCCTGAGCCCAGCAGCGGCCGGCTCTCCAAGGTCCCCCAGAACAAGAACTAGTTCCACGGAACCGAGTGAAGGGTCCAGGGAAATCTGGTCGTGGTATTTGTTGGGAACATCGCTGGTATTATTTTTACGGACCTATGAGAAAGTCCTGTCTTCTGGAGCTGTCTCTAACCTTCAGTTTAGTAGGTGATGGCTTTTGTAAACTGAAATTAAACTTATTAAATGGTATCTGAATCCCACGGGCCCCTCCTGATTTAGAAACCAGTACTTTTACTTTCCAGGCAACATCGCCCTTCACACAGGTGCAGTAAGAATCTGTCCTCCTTTCCTGGAGCTAGATTAGATAAATCAGTTGCGTAACTGTAGTGTCATATTGCAGGGTGATTGGCATCCAATCAGGTGTGACAAGTCCACTGTGAGGAAGACGGAGCCAACGCCTGCCAAGCCCTCCTAGGAGCCAGGTGATAAGGAAGGCCATTCTGGGCAGGAGGGGGACCCTAGAAAAGTTGGGGACCCCAAGAAGAAAGCCCCTCACATTTATAGAGGCTGCAGACAAAAGCTGGTGGAAAGAGAGCCTTAGGAGAGACATCGGGTGGCCAGCTTCAGTCCGGAAAGGGCCACATCCCTGGTACCCGCCAGCCCCGGGCAAACTGGGGCAGATGGTCACGCTGGACAGCAGAGCCACAAGCAGAGGTTGTAAAAGCCTGAAACTTGGGAACAAGGTAGACAGCGCATTGTACAGACCAGAGGAATGCACTTAGTTCATCTCATTGTTTACCTTTAATTCAAAGTCCCAGACTTCGGGTTACTTGTTAACTTGTAGGTTTTTGTCCAGGAGAGATGGAAGTCATTCTGCCTAGCAGAATAGATGTCCCCCAAGATTGATGGCTGTTGGACATGAGTCATTTTTAAAACTGAACTCAGCAATTTTATCATAATGCTCCTCTGTCAAATTGCCTAAAAATATCGCAAAAATCAAAAGAGCTCCTCAAATGCTCTTTGAACTCACCGGAACATCTTACTGGATCCCTTCTTAATTAGTAACAATAATTAATTAGGTAAGACCTTCGATAAGGGCTGATTTTTATATTTACTTCAAAGTCTTTTTTGTTATCCTTTTGAAAATTATATTTGAACATCGGCCATTCAGACCTGCTGTGGGGCTGAGGCTGGGGGATAGGAAGGGCAGTTTTGCTGGGGGAAGGACAAAGTCCGGAGCAGGGAGCAGCATCGGGAGGAGGAGCAGGCCCAGCCAGACCCGAGCAGCCCACAGAGGCCCCTGTGCAGGGAGTGAGGAAAATCCAAAGAAAAATCTGTCCTTGCCCTAACCGGTTTGGCTCAGTGGCTAGAGCGTCGGCCTGCGGACTGAAGGGTCCCAAGTTCGATTCCAGTCAAGGGCATGTACCTTGGTTGCGGGCACATCCCCAGTAGGGGGTGTGCAGGAGGCAGCTGATCGATGTTTCTCTCTCATTGATGTTTCTAACTCTCTATCCCTCTCCCTTCCTCTCTGTAAAAAATCAATAAAATATATATATTTTTTTAAAAATCTGTCCATCTGGTCTAGGCCATAGCCCAAGACTCCTCACCGGGACACACGACCATGGCTGACCTTATGTTTCATTCAAGTTTCCGATCATTGACAAGGCTTGATTTCCAGGCCTCTAAGCTAGACTTCCCTGTTCGGTGGGCCTAAAGTTACATCATTTGCAAGTTAGTTCTTTGGCTTAAAGTCCTTCCCTTTGTCAAAATGTAAATGTTTCTGAAAGAGGGTAACACACGGAGCCTTAGCAGTCATTTGCACATTAGTATAAACAAATTCCTAGCCTTTTCTGAGGTCAAAGTTTAGATGGAAGAAAGGGAAAGAGCAGGCGAGCCCTGTGGTCCTGGGTGGCGCGAGCCTTGGAAAGGGATCAGGGAGGGACGGGGCCTCTGACTCACCGCCAGGTCCTCTCGGGTGACAAAGCCCCTCTCCGCGGCACCACAGGCCTGGAAGAAGCCCTGCAGCTCCTCCGCTGCCTGGGAGGGCCAGGACTCTGGAGCCACAGGGCCATCCTGGCCAGCAGCGGGCTCCCGTATCTGCCGCCGCCGGCTGGAGCCCAGTTTCCGGCCTTTTCGGGCGGCTCTGTGCCCAGCCTCCATGCTGCTCTGACCTGGGGACAGAGAATGGCGAGGGATCATTGCCTGCTGCACGGTCACCGCCGGCTGCAATCCCTCCCTGGCTCCCCGTTAGCCATGGAGAGAACCCACCATGGGTGATGCCGCCCTGCCTGAGGCCTCCTGGCCTCCAGCACAGCCTGCCCAGGCCCTGCCCTTCCCGCTCCCTCGGCCTGGAATGCTCTTCCCCGCACCCTCCTCTTCAGATCTCTGCTCAACGGCCCAGGGTCTTCCCCGACTGTTGAATAAGGAGGCCCCGTGCGGGACAGGTTCCGGTTTAGGCCTTGACGTGGCTACACAGGCTCGTCCCGAGTCCCACGTCTGAAGGGCCAGCAGCACCCGGTGAGTCGTCCCTCCCGCTCTCCTGCAGCTCACTTCCTTCCCCCTCCCCGAGGGGAGGGACCCCCCACAGCTGCCTCTTCCCTCTCAGTCACCTGCCTCCAGCCTTGCTTTCTCCTCAACACCATTTCTCTGCTCTTTCCACACGCCCACCAAGGAATCAGAATGTGCCCCCCCTCCACTCCCCACCCTCACCCCACGCAGTCCACAGCACCCCTCCGAACACTCCCCACTCCCAGGAGGCCAGGTTCCCTCCCACCCTTGGTCCCTGTGCCCCAACCTCCAGACTCTCATACCCCCTCACCTAGCTGACACCTCTTCCTCCCTCTGCTTCCTCCAAGAAGCCTTCCCTGCACCCACCCCCAACTTCAAGTAGGGGTTCAGTACGCCCCTGTCTGTGGCCCCACGATGCCCTGGGCTCCCCTATGGATGTCACTGTGCACCTTGTTCCACATTATCCTCAGCTCCTTAGCACATAGTAGGTGCTCAAGTAAGTGTCGTCCAATTCATTCATTAGGGTCCTTTCTTCTGTCATTGAAGGTCTTAGGTCAGTCAGTCAATTAATAAGGATTTTGATGGATAAGGCTTTGTCCACGTGAGGCCCCAGGGCAGGAGAAGGGGAGGCTGGGGTGTGGAAGGGGTAGTCGGGGGCCTGCCCTGGAGGGAATAAGTCCAGGGTACAGAAATGTATGGGGTGAGAGGGATTGATGTGCAAATGGCCAGGCAGCTTCCTGTGGGCCGTGGGGCTTGGCCTGGCCCTGAAGGGGTGGGTGGGGTTTAGGAGCAGTGAGCAGCAAGTGCAGAGAAACTGAGGCAGCAGGAGCCACCCCTCCGGGCTTTGTCTGTTGGGGCCAAAGGTCACAGACAGGCTGAGTGAGGGTCAGGGAGCCTGCCTCGGGGAAGATGGAAGGAGCCACTGGCCCAGCGCCCGTGGGCGGATTTCCTCACACGGGGTGCACAGGACGTGGATGAAGCAATCCTCACCCCCGGAGGCCCCCAAGCTTTAGTGAGTCGTCTCCGTCTCTTCCTGTCTGTGTGTCTCCACCTGTGTCGCTCCTCTCCCCGTCTCTCTGCCTGCCACTCCAGGGCCTGCAAAGTCTGTTTCCGGTCATAGATGTGAAGCTGCAGCGGTGCTGGGCCGGGCTCGGCGCCGTGAGCCCATCGGGGCACCTCTGCCTGACCCCGGGCTGGGAAGCGGCCACTGTGGGAGCATCGGCTCCATGCGGACTGGCCAATGGGACCAATCCCCCCCCGAGCAGTGACCAGCACCTCTTCTGAGACCCCCCTGCCCAGCCCCTGCCCCAGAGCCAGCACGCACTGCACTGCGGTGACCAGACCCGGCAGGTGGCGAGCAGGCGGTGAGCGAGGAGCAGTGCACCCCTCTGACCCCGGCAGGAGGCGAGGAGGCCGCTGCTCTGGAGTCAGGCTCCGCTCTCCGTCCTGCCGCTGGCCAGAGTGACCCGGGCAAGCCACGTGGCATCCTGTACCTCGGTTTCCCCACGGGAACGTGAGAGGAGCCGTGTTTACCACGGGGCTGCGGTGAGGACTAGGTGAGATCCTTAAAGGTGAGTCGCCACCCCTTCTGGCTTCACTTTCTCTGAGCGCTTGTCACCTTCCCAGATAGTCTTTTATCCGATTTTGTGTCATTTCCATCTCCTCTCAGGAAACACAAGCCTCCTGGGAGTCGGAAGTTTACCCTTTTGTTCTCTGCTCTATCCCAACCGCCCGGACCGAGCCTCACTGAGGTCCGCATCCGGTGACATTGTCCCATCTGTGACCCAGGAGAAGGCCTCGCCGCCGCCCAGCCCACAGTGACGGCTGGTGACGCGGCAACGGCGATGGTGCTGACAACGTGGAGAGGGTGACATTCCATTTGAGCCTCACAGAAGCCGGGTACTGCACAGACGCGATTTATACCCACTTGACAGATGAGGAAACTGAGGAGGGAGGGAGGGAGGGCGGCTGCAAGCCTCAGAGAACCAGCGCCAGGCCCGCTCCCCTGGGTGGTCATGGGACGGCCTTCCCCCACGACCACTTCCCGACAGATGCCTCTGGGCGGCAGGAGGCCCATCGGTGAGTCACAGACGCCCGCGGAGCAGCCGTGGGTGTGACCGCCCCATGGGCGGGCAGAGGGGCGGCTTTACTTGCGGTTGTGGGATTTGGAAACTCGAGTTTCACACCCACTTCCTTTGAAGGAGATACAGGCAGATGATAACATTCCCATTGCGGAAGCTTCTAGAACCGCAGTGCTGGGGGAAGAGTCTCTGTGATGTGGGGCCACAGGGCGGAGTCTGTCAGCTCCATACGTCAGGGAAGGTAGGATCCTGAAGTCCATTCCCTGCGGCCACTTTCCAGGACACCGGACGCTCTTAACATCCTTTGGGGGCAGCTCCCAGCTGCACCGCCCTGGCCACTCCCAGCTCCCAGCTCCCAGCTCCCAGCGGGCGTTTGGTGTGAAAGCAGCGCCCAGCCCTCTTGGCTGCCTCAGCACCAGCCCTGGGAGCCGGTCCGCCCTCCCTCCCAGGAGCCACGCCGCCTCCTTGTCCGTCAGGAGCCTGGGCAGAGGGACAGCAGGTGCCCTGCAGCCAGCACTGCCCAGAGCACCGGTGGCACCCTCAGAGCAGTGTCCCCCCAGGAGCCTCCGGCCCCCGCCAGGAGCAGTCTGTGCCCCTCAGGGCCAGGCACGGCCATCAGAGGCAGGGGGACACCCTCGGTCACCTCAGCCGCACATGCTCACACTCCCGCAGCAGCTCCCACCAGCCAGCCTGGTGCTCACCACAGCCCCTCAGCCCTCGCAGCCCCGGGCGAAGGTCCCTGCCCTTCGGTCACTCAGAACCACAGGCCTCGGAGTCAGCAGCAGGGGCACCCCCTGAGCACCCCTCCCCCTCCTGGATCATCGCTCCCTCACTCCCTCGCTCCCTCACCAGCCAGAAGCCCCCTCGTGACCAGGAACACATCGCACACCCTGCAGCCCGACCTCTCCCCTCACTCCTCCCCCAAGAAATCAGGCAAAGTTTGAAGTCGGCGGCAGAGTCACAAGACAGTGTCTGCAGGTGCCGGGGCCTCCCCCATCCCCATCACTCTCTCACCAAAGGGGTGAGGGGCTGGGTCCGCGCGCACCCCCTCACCGCAATAACTGCAAATGACAGCGAGTCACAGGCCCTAACTGTCCAGGCGAGGGGGCTGAGAGCCCCCTCGCGCCTTGTTCTGGTCCACTCACCCCTCTTCCCTCCAACTTGATAGAGAAACAGAGGCTCTGAGGAGCCAGGTGAGCTGCCCAGGGTCACATGACATTTAAAGGCAGGCAATGCACCCCGTCTCCTGCCCAGGTGCCCTCCGTTAGACCAGAGAGAGCCCCACATTCACAAGAAAAGAGGACTCAGCCCTTTGCATCCTTGTCATCGAGCTGGCTGGGGGCCCTGCTGCCTCCCCCATCCTCATCCCTCCAAGAAAAGCATCGCCACGGGGGCGGCTCCCACTCCCACCTGCAGACTCCGCAGCACCACCTGGGCCTCCTGCTCCTCCTGCGCCTCCTGCGCCTCCTGCACCTCCTGGGCCTCCTGGGCCTGCTCGAGGAGCCCGCGCGCGCAGGACTCTTAACAGTCCTGCCTCTTGCTTCATCTCTCTTCCGCTCCCAGCAAGCTGATCTCCTGTGCTGATCTCTGAGACTTCCTGTAGAAGTGGCCACTGTTACCCTTTCATAATGTGGCCTGGTTCTCCCGAGGCCCCTTGCTCTAGAATCCTCGGACTTGGAGCAGGCAGAGCAGAGGGAAGTCCATCTAAGTCAGCGGTTCTCAACCTTCCTAATGCCGTGACCCTTTAATACAGTTCCTCATTTGTGGTGACCCCCAATTCCATTGTTACAAATTGAACATAATTAAAGCATAGTGATTAATCACAAAAACAATATGTAATTATATATGTGTTTTCCGATGGTCTTAGGCGACCCCTGTGAAAGGGTCGTTCGACCCCCAAAGGGGTCGCGACCCACAGGTTGAGAACCGCTGATCTAAGTGGAGGCTCAGGACAGCGAGGTGGGCTGTCTGCGGTCACCCAGCCCTCGATGGCCAAGCCAGAGATTGGACGCTGCCTCTGGTTGCCACGGTGATGCCATGGCGTATCCCGGCCAGGGTGTTAATGGGCACAGTGCAGGCCAGTGCTGGCTGGGAAGCCGCACGCCGTGCCCTACCTCAGGGCCTCACTCTCGGGCAGGGTCATGGAATACCAGGGAGGCTTACAGCTAAATCACCTTTCAGAGCAGGGTGGGCAGCGTCCAGCCCGAGGGCCATATAAGGCCTGCGAAATCACTGGCTCTGGCCCTGCCAAGGCATTAGGAGTGAGTTAATTAAATGTTTGCCCAAATATAGCAGGTTATTTATTTATTTATTTTTATTCTTTAAAGGGAGAGGGAGAGGGAGGGGGAGAGAAGGAGATAAGCATCAATGATGAGAGAGAATCATTGATCAACTGCCTCCTGCACTCCCCACACTGGGGATCAAGCCCGCAACCTGGGCATGTGCCCTGACGGGGAATCGAACTGTGATCTCCTGGTTCGTAAGTCGACGTTCAACCACTGAGCCATGCCGGCCGGGCAGCAGGTTAATTTTTAAGTAGATAATTTTGTATGGCCTGCGAATGATGCTATAAATATCCAAATGGCCCTTGGCAGCAAAAAGGTTCCCCACTCCTGTTTTAGAGAACAGTCTA